TTCCAAATAGTCTCATAAAAAATTAAAAAAAAAAAAATCTGTGTGGGAGGGATTACTTTTCTATTCAACTATAAAAACTGACATTGAATCAATCATTAAATAAATATTTATGGAACAGCTAGTATGTACCAGTTTTTAAATGGAAAACTTGACCATTTATCATAAAAGAAATGGAGAAAAAAGTTACTGCACAATAACTATTGATTACTTGAATAAATATTTATTACATGTCTTCTAATATTACTGTTCTGTGGCTGAGAACACAGTGGTAAGATATTTAGTTTGTGGGTTTGAGGACTACAGGGAGATAAGTATCTGGAGCCTGAAACAGTGCGAAGCCATCAAGTGGCTTAGGAGAATCACATCACAGATTTTTTTTTCTTTTTTTTTAAAGTTCACCCTTACTGTTGTGTAAAGAGAAAATTTTGAGGGATAAGAAAGGAAATGGTGAGACCATTTAGAAAATGATTAAAGGAAGAAGGTGGTGGAATCTGGGACTGTGACAAAGCAGCAAGGAGCTATGAAAAATGGGATGTATTTTGCAGAAAAAAACAATTAAGCTGATAGAGTGGATGTGAGAGTTGACCAGGTTTGTGGCTTTTGGAACTAGGTAGATGGTGGTGATGCCACCTAATGAAAACGAGAAAACTGATGGAGGGCCAGGCTTGTGAGAAAAATAAAGTTATAGTTTGGATATATTAACTTTGCTACATCTATGAGCCATTCAAGTGAGAGTATCAATTTAGGCAATTGTTATAAGAATCTGGAATTCTTAGTCAGTAGAGATATAAACATTTGGGCAGTTCACCTGAGATGTAGCAGTAAGAGCTATAAGGAGTGAAGGGCTCACACTCCTAGCTACCCAACCTTCAGCAATATGGATGCCAAAATCCAAAAGAAATTACCACCAAATTGATTTTGGTATTTTAGTAAAAGAATACACTGTGACCAATACAGATTATTTGGGGAATACAAGAATGGCTCAAAGTCAAGAAATCAATTAACCTATTAGTAGGTTAAGGAGAAAAAAATGATTCTCTGATATTGCAAAGTTTTCAATTAAAATCAAAGTTCTCACTTAAATTCAGGAATCAGTGCTTTCCTAACTTTTTAAGTTTAAGATGTTGAAAAAATTTCTATAGAACTAGAAGTAATACACAGCCCACACCTTATCTTAACAGAAAGAGGAAAAGCAATCTCATGAATGAGATTAACAAGACAAGAATGTAAGTGATTGCTGCTATTTTGGACTGCTATGGAGAAAGCCAGGTATGATTTTCTATCTGGAAAATCCAGGACAGTCATCCAAAAATGCCCTTGAATAAATAAATGAGCTTATTTATTAGGGTGGCAGTTTTTAAACTCAACATATAGAAGAGTGAATACTCAAATTAGTTGTAATTACTTAGAAGATTTAATGTGGAAAAAAAAAATTCCACTATTATGGCAACAAAAAATTCAAACTAAGATTTAACTTGTTAATAAATAGTAGAACTTAGATGAAAAAAGCTGGAAGACTGAAAAAAAAAAAAGAAAGATAGGCAAGGTTTATGACTGGCAAAATCAAGATTGAAGATTTTGAAAGATGCCAATTCAACTTCAATTAATCATTAAGTCAATACAATTTCAGTCCTAATTCAAAGAGGATTTTAAAGAATATAATGATACTCAAAATTAAGATGGAGAAGGCAATGGCAACTCACTCCAGTACTCTTGCCTGGAAAATACCATGGATGGAGGAGCCTGGTAGGCTGCAGTCCATGGGGTCGCTAAGAGTCGGGCATGAATAAAGCAACTTAGCAGCAGCAAAATTAAGAAGACTGAAGAAATTACTGAACAGGAAGAAAACCTAGGGTACACTTGGCCTGTCAGGTATCAGATGGATTGGAAAACTATAATAAATACGATCATGTGGCATTAGTGCATAAGCACAATGGCAGAGCGATGGAACGAGAGAGAAGGAACAACAACAAAAATATCCATATATTGTCCCATTCATCTTATTCGCTTTTATACATGGGGATTGAGAATCAGAGCTGGTAGGAACTTATGTCCAGTGGTCGTGTGCCAGCGGCCAAACTTTTGATACTCAAAATATGTTACACCCTTGAGACTTATTTAGTTAAATTGGAAACTGGCACCAAACAGTCCCTCTATCCATCCTTGCCCTGGGGAAATTTCCAATTTTTCGTAAGCTAAGTGGAACTCATTTGTCATATTTTCATCTTTTGAGGTCACTACTCCTTAAAAAGAGTCTAATGCAAGCTGTACAAAGTTACAAACCATTTTGAGGTGGAGGTTTTTCCACTGACACTGAGGCCTAGCCCTGGACTGAATAGGGCAAACGGTCCCCAGTCTGGTCCATCCTCAGAGTGATGTGAAGAGCTTTAAGAAAAGCAAAAACGCTAAAGTCTACACCAGGCCAACAGCCTGGGAGTATCTAGTGATGGGATTTAGGAATCTATAATAAGGCTTCCCAGGGAGCTGCACTTTACCCAATCTTCGAAGCTTGGTTTCGGGAAGAAAACATTTAACATTTATAATGTTTTGCATAAAAGGGAACACCTCCCTTGATGTGATCACACAATATTAGAACAGCAATAAGCAGAACATGGTTAGGAGAAAAAGGATGAACAAACTGAGAAAAAATTCTCCTAACTGTTAAGAACTGCTAAACATACTATTCACTCAAAGATTATTTTGCTGTGCCACCACAGCTTTAGACACAGTCAGGTTTTGAACGTTTCATATGCAGCAGTTTAGTTGATAAACTGGTTGCCTTGGAAAAGGAAATAAGATCTAAAAAGGGAGAATGGAATAGGTAAGTTAAAACTACAGCTTAGAAAAACTGTTACCTCATAAAACCTTTTGTCTGTTGATAGTCACCTTCAGTGTTGATTTGGTGCAGAAATGTTAGGTTATTGCTTTTATTATACTATTTTTTAAATGGCTGCTTCTTACATAACTCAGAATGATTCTAGAGAAAGCTTTGTCCCTTTCCCTGCAAAATCAAGATGATTTTACAAGAAAGAGTGATATAATAGGTGAGGGTTACATATATAGATCCCAGTGGCCTCCAGAGCAAGCATTTGTGATCCCAGCTTTTTCAGTCCCTTATCTTCTGTGCAACAGTTGCACACTTTCAACCATCACAAGACCAAAGAGATTCCACAGGGTACCTACATCTGCTGTGATTCAGCTTAAGTCGGATTTGTGTCTCTGTGAAGGCAGATGCTTCGACTTGGTTGAAACTGTTCGGTTTTCAAATATATTCAGAAGTCCTTAAAAAAAAAGAAAAGAAAAAACTATAATTGATAAATAAATCTGAGAACTGATTCTTTAACAGAATAACTCAGTATAGAAATCATTAAACCACTAATGAATCTACTCAAAGAAAAAATACGATAGTATTTTTAAAAAAGAGATGACGCTGACTAAAAAACAGCAGCAAACATGACACTGAACTCTCCTTCTCCCATACACAGAAAACTGTGTTTATGGGTCCATTTTTCACTCGGATTTTCCACATATGCATCCATGTCTGAGTAATCTTACTTTGACCTGTCAGTTTTTTCCTATATATCACAGAGAGGCTCTAAAATTATGACTTGTGATGGTTACACAATGTTTCTTTCAATTAAAGTGCTATGATTTTCTGAGCTGCTGCTCTGCTATTTTATTAATACATTTAGGTTGCCTCTGGACTGGATCTAATTTTAGATCATTCTGAGTTCTGTGGGTGCATGCAGCTTTTCTTCTTCTTTCCTTGTTTCTTCCATTGCAGGTAAGTTCCCAGGAGTGGGGTTTCTGGGTCATGGCTTAAAGGATCACCAGACCATTTTTCACAAATTTCATACAGATTGACAATGTCCCCCAATGCAATGTGACTAGGAAAAGAATAAAAGTATACATACTAAAGGTCAATTTTACACAGTTAATCCTGGCAAACTCCTGAAGTAGGTATAATTTCCTCTATTTTATGAATGGACAAGAGGAGGAGGAGGAAATTAGGTCCCGAATTGTAAAATTAATTGCAGAGCCGTATTTTTAACTCCAAAGCCTTGCCACCTCCCATGATAACTGAATATGCAAATTTCTAGGTAACCTTCCAGCAGTGGTTGCTGTTACTGTTGTTTTTACTAGTAGTTGTAAAATGATAATCCAGACTTGCCTTAATTTGTATTTTATTCCATAAATGATTCTTCATTTCACCATTTATCTTTTTATAATCTTGATATTTTTCTTTCACAAGTATGAAAAATTTGCATCAGATACAAATCATATACAAATGACATCCTAACTCTGCTTTCTTTCCTTTTCTGGTTCTTTTTCATTGTTAGACCGCCTCAGTGTTTCCATAGGAAAACTGTTCCTTTTCATAGGTTAATTTTAAAATCTGAGAGAGTTGTTCATTATCCAGAGGTCTGACATTTTTATTCAATTTTCTGTTCCTATTTTTCTCTCACAACTTGTGAAAATTTTTAACCCTATTCTATGTGGAATCTTTTGCAAGGAAAAGTAACACTTCAAATGTTCAGCATTCGGGAAACTGCTTAATAAACCGTGATTGCTCTTGAACTCGGCCATGAGATGAGGATAACCATGATCAGGGAGGTGAAACTGCTTTGTTGTTAAGAATCTGGAGACGAGGAAACTGAAAAACAAGATGGTGAGGGTAGTGGGCTTATGATTTTAGATGGTACCAAAAGAAAAGGGGGAAAAAAAAAAACGAAAAAGGACAGCAAAAAACGGACTTCTCCTCGTTGTGGCAAACGTGAAGGTGCCACCCCTACTGGCAGATGAGGGTGGTTCTCCGAGAGGCGCCTGATCCCCTCCCCTCAGTCTCCTTATGACCGAGATCCCTCCTTCCTGAGGGTCAGTCGAGGCAGCGAAAAGCTTTGCTTTTCGCTTTGCTTTTGGCTTCACCACATCTGAGCTCCCAGGAAACACTGCTCCCGGTACCTGGATTTCTCTGGCCTGGAGTGAGGGCCGGGTCGCCCATGACTCCCCTCGCCGAGGCCGAAGCCCAGGCCACGCCCGCCCGAGCGATCCCCACGCGGTTGCCAGAGACTCACCCGCAGCGGCTACCCAGGTACCTCCCAGCCGCGTGATGGCAGGCAGGGCCGCCCCTCGGGAGGAGTTCGGCAGCAGCGGCTGGGGGCCCACGGGCGCTCCGGCACTCCTCACCGCCGAGGTCGGGCCCCGTGGGGCGCCAGCTTCCCCTACCCCCAATTCCGCGTCTCCTCTGGGCATCGGGAGGGCCCAGATCCCGGGGCCTCTCCCTTGTTCTTCTGAGCTCGCCAGCGGTTCCTTGGACCTGCGGCCCCTCTACCGGTGCGATTCGCCCATCCCACTCCCGCCGTGGACGAGCGTGGGAGGGGGCTAGATTCCTACACACCACCCACATACCTCGGGAGGGGGACCAGCCAGCCGAGGCCCCCGTCCACATTCCGAGTAAATGGAGCTCCCCTAACCAGGAGGGCAAAACCGAGCGGCGGCTGCCAAAAACCAACGAGCACGCTAAACAGGCCCGACGTTCCCCGCGCCCGCCGGAACGTCCCCAGTCCACCTCAGGGTCAAGGTCTGCCTCCCACCCAATCCGATCCGGCTGGGTGCCCGGGGGCCTCGGCCGCCAGCCCCGGGGTTGGGCGGCCTCCGCTGGGAGTTTAAAGGACTACGTGGCTGTTTACCTGCCTCTGCGAAAAAGAAGACGCTCTCTGCTCTGCGGCTGTCAGCGACTGGCAACTAGGGCGGGTGAGTCGTCAGGCGGAGGAGGAGGTGCAGGGGCGGGGAGGCGACGGCGCGCGCACGCTCAGGCGCACCCGCTGCCGATGCCCGGGGTTTACTGGCAGACCCAGGAATCTAAGTCCCTGGGCAGAACGAGTTGAGACTAGCTTAAACGCTAGCATCAACTAATATCGCCTCGCCGGCTCATCACTCCCTGAAATTGCTTGTTGACGATAAAAATCATCTTTAAAGGAAAAATCGGCCAAAGCCCCAGCTTATCGTTACGTAATAGAGAAAATGAAAGATTAGGGAATGAGAAAGCAATTTCTGGAACTTTGGTAACCAGAAATTTCTAAAAAGGACAAAAATTCTACTACCCTGGATTGAGCCCAATGTTTGTGAATTTTCAGATTAAAATTTGAGGCCTAGAAAGGATATTAGCCATCACCTGCCGTCACTCAGTTCCTGCTCATTGTCTACAAAATAAATGATTAGATTATGATATCATAAATGAGGGAAATGCACTCCATTTAACAAGTCTGTTCTGCACATTATCTGAGGTTTCTTGTATAAAACATAGTGTGTTCTTGATCATTATTACTGCCAAAATTTTATGTAGGGGTTTGTCTCATGTGAAGGATGGCAAGTGGTAGAAGACAGGTGTTAAGGTTAGAGGGGTCATATACATCATTACCCAAATTTGGGCACTTAATATTTGAGTACAAATATTAATTATGCAGGGTCAATGGGTATAAACCTGGGAAAAATGAGATATCTAGTCCCCTTGTTATGGGCAAGAGGCTCCACTAAGCTTGCAAGGAAAGAGGTTTAAAAATATTGAGACACCCATTAGGTTAAATATCTCAGGGTGGATCTCTCAAATAGGACGGGGACAAGTGAGGGAGTCGAGAGGCCCGGAGAACTGTGTAGAATGAAGTGATATATTTATGAATGTGGATGGGGACCTGAAAGTTCTGCTGGGAAGGAGAAATGAGAGGTCTATAAAATATGACGATGGGATGAAGATGATTCAGTAATGGAAATGGATTGTGGCCAGTTATAAATGAGTATTAGGCAGCAATGCCAGGGCTGTTTTCTATCCAGTCAGTCTGTTGTAGCCATGCATTCTGGGAAACAAACTCACTCAGAAGGACAATGCAGATAGTGGAGTGCAGTTTTTTACACCGGCGGGCCCAAGGCAGAGTCTCCTCTTAGCCAAGGACCCCAACCAGCATTTGTGAAAATCTTTTATACCCCATGTGTATGTGTCCAAACCCACCACCCTAAATTCCTTGAGACTTACATAAACAAAGGAAGGGTAAATACAATCCCAGTAACCCCATCACTCTTGTGCCATGTGCTCAGACAGTTAAACAATTAGCCAATAATCAATAAGCCCAAGGTTACACTCCGACAGGTACAGAAAATTTATGGCCTGTCTGGAGGAAGGGGTAATTAGTATATGTGTTCTCTTAGGCGATGAGTAACCTGGATACGATCTGCAAGTTTCCCCTGTCCGGAGGGGGTCTTATCCTTCTGTTGTCCTTTCCTTAGGCACTAAACACAGAGTCCATTGGAGAGGTGGCCGAGCATGATCAGCATGAACAGGCCTAAGGTGGAGTCCAGGCCCTATGAATTCTTTCTTCAAGTCTTACATAATGATTAAGTTGACACTACTTACCTTCTTTCCTCAGAGATTGTTTATTGTGAGATACATTGGGGGCAGTGAAGCATCTCTTTGAGTCCTGAGCTGGGTGGAGCTGGGAGTAAGTGACCAGATCAGGCTGGGCAAGAGACTGACTTTCCCCTGCCAGGAGGGGCAATGTAAAGCTTGTTTAGAAGATGCCAAAACTCAGCCATTTTCCTCAAGAGAATCCGATGTCAACTGGCTTGAATGCTTCCCTTCCCTCCCCCAACCCGGAAAATGCTCAAAAGGCAATATAGTTCGTGAAGGTTTGAGGGAACCAAATGACATTGCCTTTTGTTCCTATTCTGGCTATTGTTGCCATGTAGCAACTACTCCAAAACTTAATGGATTAAAGAAACCACCATTTTATTATGCCCATGAACTGTGTAGGCCAAAGAGTTGGACATGCACAATGAGGACATGACTCTGCCCCATGACATCTGAGGCTGCTATTGGGAAGACTCAGTGTCTGAGGTTGACTTGATAGCTGGGAGTTGGAATCAGTTCAGTCACTTGCATGGCCCGCACCTGGGCTGGGAGGACTTGAAAATCAGGTGTACTGATTGAAGTGCCTTCACATGACTTCCCCATGTGGCCTGGCTTCCTCCCAGCATAGTAGTCTCAAGTTTGATGAGCTTCTTACCTGTCTTAAGAAGTCCCAAGAGGACCCAAGTGTGAGACTTTAAACATGGAAGCTGCATTGCCACTTCTCACATAGTCTCAAAAGTCACATAACATCACTTTCACTATATGCTATTGACCAAAGTAGTCATATGCCCATCCAGATTCAAGGGCAGGGATCATGGACCCCATCTCTCAATGGGAAGAGTATCAAAGAATTTGTGGCCATTTTTGAAAACTGCCATTATGGGGTTGTAGTTTCTTAGGGGCTTTCATTGGCCTCGTGAACAGCATCACGTTGGTCAGGCCACAGGAGAAAGCTTTTGCAAATGGCCCTACATCATTCCTCATCTCAGTCTCTACCATCACCACAACTACTATATCTCATTATATATAAGGAAGGCCATTTCTGAACTGCATGACAAGCATGTTCGAGGGTTTGTCCTCTAGGGACCTGGCTGTGCTGAGGTTATGGCACCATGAAGACATTCTTTGAAAGTCTCCCTTCGCATCTCCCATGTCCTGGCTCAAAGTTACCTGTCAACATCACATAGATCCCCCTCAACAAACATGGAGAAGCTAAAGAAGTCAAACTCTCTGTTTATCTTATTTTCAAAAGAAGAATTATAACCCAGTGTGAATTAGATAGTTATAGTTTCTGACCTTAGACAGTAAAGGGAATACAGGAAGCCACATAGAAAGTGACCAGGTCATGCAGGGCCTAACAGCCAATGACCAGGTCTTTAGATTTTAATTAAATGTGATAGGAAGCTCTTGAAGATTTAAGCAGGGTGGTGACATGACCTTATTTCAAAGACCATTCTGATTGTTGTGTGGGGCCTAAGGGGCAATGGTGGGGCTTGGTGGTAGAGGAGGTATTCTGAAATGGTGAGAGGCAAGTTTTAGAGGCAACAAGTTTTAGAGAAGTTTCTTCCATTTTGAGTATGTAGAATTTTAGTGTAACCTCCAGATTGGGAGGGTTGGTGCTGAAGATGTGCATTTAGAAATTGTCAGTAAGAATCTGCCTGCAGTACAGGAGACCTGGGTTTAATCCCTTGGTTGGGAAGATCCCCTGGAAAAGGAAATGGCAACCAGTATTCTTGCCTGGGAAATCCCATGGACAGAGGAGCCTGGTGGACTAGAGTCCATGGGGTTGCAAAGATTTGGACATGACTGAGGTAACTAAACCACCACCAGTATTTAGATGATTTTCAAAGTTGTGAGCTTGGATTATAACATCAAGGGAGAAAGTGTAGCCAGAGGAAAGAAGAGGAATCAGGACTGAATGGTAAGAAACTCAGACAGTTTTAGATCATGGTTCTTAGCTTTCAGTGTGCATCACCTGGGGTCTGGATAAAACACAGATTCCTGGGCCCATTCTCAGTTCAATTCAGTTCGGTCACTCAGTCGTGTCTGACTCTTTGCGACCACGTGGACTGCAGCACACCAGGCCTCCCTGTCCATCCCCAGCTCCCGGAGTTTACCCATTGAGTCAGTGATGCCATTCAACCATCTCATCCTCCATCATCCCCCTCTCCTCTTGCCCACAATCTTTTCCAGCATCAGGGTCTTTTCAAATGAGTCAGCTCTCCACATCAGGTGGCCAAAGTATTGGAGTTTCAGCTTCAACATCAGTCCTTCCAATGAACACCCAGGACTGATCTCCTTTAGGATGGACTGGTTGGGCCCACCCTAGAGATTTCTGATTTGGTAATTCTGAGATGAAGTCCAAGAATCTGCATTTCTCATGGGTTCCTAGATGCTGCTGATCTGCTGAGCCACACTTTGAATTAGAAAAAGAGAAGATAGCGAGAGAGACTGAAAAGTGACAGCCAATGAAGTAGGAGGATATTAAGAGCGTGAGAGAGTAGGTGCCTTTCAAGAAGGCAGGGCTCAGCTATAGAGAGACCAAATAGAATGGAGGTGGGAAAGAACTCACTGGATTTGGTGACATGGAGGTTGTTATTGGGGCCTTGATGGGATTAGTTTCAAGACAGTAGTAAGAACACACAGAGTAAATTGATGAAGAAATGGAAGGTGAGGGAGTAGAGACAATTCTGAGAAGTTTTGTCCTGGAAGAAGCAGAGAAATAGGCATTAGCTGGAGGAGAGTATGGGTGTAATGGAGAGTATTTTAAACTTTCTCTAATAAAGAGGGTCATCTTTAGGATGGGCCCATTCATTGGGAGTATTCATGTCCTCAAAGACCTCATTCCTCCCCTTTCTCCCCTCTGACTTTCTCAGTTCAGCAATTTAAGGTATTGCATCAGAAATTACATTTTTTTCTAAGGATGAATGATTGTGAATTTAAAGAGAAACCATCATGCTGCAGACGTATTACAGGCGGCTATATCTCTCCACTCTTTAAACACATAAAATGATTCCTTAGTGGCTAGACTCCAGGGTCTGGGCTTCAGATTGTGTGAAAAAGCCCAGACCATGTTTCTGACAACCTCTCTCCCTGAATCCCCCCTGGGCTTCAGTTCTGCTAGGCTAGTTGCTCCTTCTTTAACTGCCTTGGCTGAGGCTCTGCTCAAGCAGTTTCCTCAGTCCTGAATTCCTTCACACCCCTCTCTTCTGTGAAGCTGTCCATATTTCCCCAACAAAACTCCACCATCTCCCTCCTGCTCCAGCAGCAACTGGCTTGTATCATCCAGTGCCATTTTAAGCTGCTCTGTCCATATTTAACTAGGTTATAAATTGCTTGGGAGGAGAGTCTCAGGACCTTGCAAATGAGAGTTTACCAGAAAAATCAGTTAAACAGTGTCCTGAGTGTGTTACCTATCCCATGTTCTCATCTTGTTCTTGTGCCTATTTTCTCCTTGGTTCCCACAGAATTTTTCCTTTTCTGTCT